TACAGTGGTGCCTCGCTTAGCGAGTGCTTCGCTATGCGATGAATTCGCATAGCGAGGGGGTCCGGGCCATCGCTGGAGCGTTCGCTCAGCGATGGCCCCTATGGCGATTTTTCGCTTTGCGATGATCGCTAAGCGATTCGCTTAGCGATCTTCGCAAAACGAAGCGGGGGAGAACAGCTGATCGGCGGTTCCAAAATGGCCGCCGGAAGGGGCCCCCTAGGGCATCCAACCCCCCTGCAGTCATGGCAGGGTCTGACACAGGGTTGCCCAGTTTTCTCTTGAATGCCTCCAGGGTTGGAGCACTCAACACCTCTTGAAGTAACCGGTTCCACGGTCGTACTGCTCTAACAGTTCGGGTTTTTCCTGACATTCAACCGAAATCTGGCTTCTCTTCACTTGAAGCCATGGTTGCGGGTCCTGGATTCTGGGATGATCAAGAACAGATCCTGCCCCTCCTCTGTTTGACTACCTCTCAAGTATTTGTAAAGTGCTATCCTATCACCCCTCTGTCTTCTTTTCTCAAGGCTAAACGTGCCCAATTCTTTCACTTTTTCCTCATAAGGCTTGGTTTCCAGCCCCCTGATCATCCTCTTTATCTGATCCAAACATGAGCTCATTAGTAAAATATATACACTGAGAAGGCCGAAGTCCTGTTCCCACTGTCTATATTTTTGCTGCCATCCTGTATAAAGTGATGGAATAGGACTTTGGGTTACCATGGAAACTCTTGAGGGGCAGTGGAACTGGTGAAACCCCTTGGTAAGTATCTCACTGGGAAAGCCCTTTTCAACTTCGTATAGACCAGTTCTGACTCAATGGCATTTAACACATATTTTAGCTCCGTCGTTCCTCATGGTTTTTTCCCCCTCTTGTTCTGTATATTTCAAGAAAAAACTTTGGCTTAACTACAGAGGACCTCAGTGAATGAATGGGTCAGCAGATCACTTAAAAACAACAAAACAAACCCCAGCTTTGAGACACTGCCATTTCTAAATATATTTGTACTACCCTCTTTCACCAAAAATAAGAACTAACCTGAAAGTAAGCTCTATTATGGTTTTTCAGGATCCTCGTAATATAAGTCCTACCCCAGAAGTAATCCCCAGTTCAGTGAAAGCCCACCCTCCACCATGGTGCAGCAACCCGAAGAAGATGACATGACTGTATTTGAATAAATGTAGATGGTTGTACATGAAAAAAAAAACATCCCCTGAAAATAAGCCCTAATGCGTTTTTGGAGCAAACGTTAATATAAGGCCCTGTCTTATTTTCGGGGAAACACGGTATGCCATTTCTAAAAATTTCAAGGAGCAAACCTTACTTTAATAATACTAATAGTCTAAGTTCTGTCAAGTCCATTATGACTTATGGTTATCTTTTTCAGGATTTTTCAGGTAGAGAATACTCAGAAGTGGTTCCCTATTCCTTTTTATTTTTGGCACTATTTCTGGGACTGGGCAGCTTGCCCAAGGCTCCCCAGGTTGGCTTTTCTTCCAGTGGGGGAATCGAACTCCTGACCTTGGGCTCAGCAGCTAGATACGGTGCCTCATCTTAGAGACGACATTCCCTCCTTCGAAAGAAGGAAGATCTTCTCAACTGACCAGTGGGGACTGTAACAAAATGTTGCAGTGGCAAGTGTGCCCGAATGTTCTGGCCAGGAGGATATCATCTCATTCCCAATCCTGGGCAATTTTCAGGTTTCGGCATCCACTGGACATGTTCAACTGTTCCTTCCCTCACATAAGAGTTTTCCCTAGAATGTTTTTTTATCTTTTTGCAAGCCATGAAAGGAATCCCCCTCCCTAGACTGTAGTGAGCAGTGGGAAGCCCAGGTATGATGAAGGGCCCTCAAAAACATGTTGGAACTGGCCCCTCTACACACACTCCTGAGAGTACCCGGGGACCCATTCTAGAGCCAAGGAAGTTTTATATACCGGATTTTTCTGTGTATAAGACTATACTTTTGTCTAAAATCTTTAGACTAAAAATTGAGGGTTCTTATACACGGAAGTAAGCTAAGGAGAGAACAAAAACAAGTGGAGGGGAAAGCAGGGATCAAAGCGATCCTGCAGCACTTTGATAACTTTCCCCCTACACTTGCTGAGCCCCGCTTTGAGTTCCTAATTTTGGATAGAAAAGTGGGGGGGTCTTATACATGGAAAAATATGGTATTTTTGCAGGAGTTGGAGGGTCATATTGGTGTGCTTGAAGAGACACATGGAGTCTGCAGAATTGACGTTGTATACACCAACTGTAGATTGTTCTTTGTGGTGCATCTCTATCATGTCCGGCCCACTGTTGAGAGATACATTTTGGGTTGATTCTTCGTAGACATCCACCAAGAGAGAAATTAAGTGGCATCCTTAACAGAGGATAATTCCCCTTTAAAAACAGAAACACACACAAAAAACATATGTTTATTTCATTGAGCTGTCTGGGCAGGTCAGTGCTTTAGGAATCTGGCTGTGGACCCAGAGGTTGGGTGTTCGATTCCCCTCACTGAGCCTCCTGAGAGAAGAGCCAGCCTGGGTAGCCTCGGGCAAGCTGCACAGTCCAGAATTATCCCCAAAAGAAGGGAAGGGGAAACCATTTCTGTGTATTCTGTACCTGAAAACGGTCACCATAAGTCAGAATTGGCTTGACAGCACATCATGATGATGATGATGATTTCATGATTTCATTGATAATCCTGACTTCTCTCAAAGAAACCCAAGGTGGCATACATGGGCCTCTTCCTGTTTTTATCCTCACAAAAACCTCTGTGGGGTGGATTGCACAGAGAACCAGCCTCCCTCAGTTGGTGACGTATTTGTTTCCTGCCTTTCCTCTGGTGAGGTCAAGATGGTGCAGGTGGCTTTTTTCCTCCCCACTTGATTCTCGCAACCACCCTGTAAGGTAGAGCCAGGCCCAAGGCTGCTCCGCTTCACTGCAAAATAGGGATTTGAACCTTTTAAAATCACTATTATCAGTGGGGGGGGGCAGGCTCCAGAAATCCAGGGGAGGGCACCAAGGAGTGCCTGGGGACTGATCGACTAGCCTCCGAACTAGCAGAAGACCACTTTCAGTTTTGCAAAACACTTTAAAAATTTTTTCTAGGAAGCAAAATAAAATTCAGAGTGGTCGTTCATTAAAAAATGACTTCTGAGTCATTTTGAAATCATTTTTTCTCCTGGGGAAGGTCTGAGGACACAGAAGTGGCAAAATAATAATAATATTAATAAAAAATTAATAATCATTTTATCTTTTATTGTATTTTAATTGTTGTAAGCCGCCCAGAGACCTTTGGGTAGAGTGGGTGGCATATAAGTTAAATAAATAAATAAATAAATAATTTAATTAATTTAGTTTTTAATTGAAAAACACCAGGATGTCCATGGCCATACCAGCTATCCACTGAATGTTTGTCTTTTCTTTTGTTCCCATTGTTTAGATAGAAGGCTGAGCTATCAACTACGGATCGTGTTCGTTCGCAGATGCTCTGCATGCTTCTGAGGGAAAGACCCACCCTCCGGTCCTTCTCTTGAGGCAAAGACCCTTCGGCTTCCATTCCGAGACTGTTCAGGTTTGATCGCAACCATTTGTGCAGCTTCAGACCGGACTGAATCCAGAACCAAACAGCTTTTCTATAAGGCCTCTTCTCTGTTTTTGCAGAAAACGGGGACCGAAGTCAGGAATACAAAAAAAATATAGTTTTTCTTTCAACGAAACGGCAGGGTGGGGGTGGGGGGAAGAAGGCAGCGAGGTGATCCCAAAATGACTGCCAAGCGAGGGTCAACTCCCAGTCTCCAGTTCCAGGGTGCGTTAGAACAGGTCGCTCGGAGGGGAACGAAAATGGAAGACGACGAGGAGGAAGCTGAAAACCCGGAGCCGGAAGAAAGATGGAGGGGGAAAGGGGGAGCCTCGCGGGGTCCCCGAGAAAAAGAGGACCGGTTGCCGAGGGGCCGGCTATCCCAGCAGAAGCACCTCCACAATGCCAGTCGTTCCGCCCGCTCGGGATGGAGGAACCCCCCAGTGACACGGAAGGCCGAGTGGGAAGAGAGGCAGGCGTTTCCGTCCTCCGGCG